GTGGGCGGTGCTCGGGGTGGTGACTGAAGGCAATGACTGTGTAGTTCTGATGTCAACTTTTTACGGAAGTCACAACGGTTTGTGAAAAATCACAGCTACTTTATGCAGGCTGTGTGAATTTTACTGTGGACTGACTGTTTTGAAACTTATATGGCAGTTACATAGCACCTAGACCTCAGTTATCATGGAAAAAGCCAGGGAATTTCAGTTTTGACAATATGGGACCTTTAATAGGTTTAATTTATGGTTGCCTAATTTGCCGCGTGCTATACAATCACCTGAGGTGAATGCATGTCTTTGTGTTCGGGCTGTAAAATGGTGACTTGCATTACGTGACACAGTGCTCCTGTGAAAGTGCTGTGAGCCTGTAGCTAGATTACAGCTGTGATTTGATGCTATCTATGGTTTTGTGACCTATTGTGAACTAATATGTATGATTATGACAGTCCTCAAGTTGCATTGAGAGAACTTGCACAGCAAGTTAAGTGCCATTAATGCCTTTCTAGTTTTTCATCTTGTTCTTTAAACATTAAACTAATAATTCAGGTTAATTCAAGTTAAAATGCAATCAAGAGCATCTAACAAAAATTGAGGTTACAGTGGGGCACTTAAAATGGAAGTCGTCTGTTAAAACTTGTGTTTTATTACATAACATTACACCTGCTGTGGATTGAGCTTAATGGTTGCTTTAATTCTGAGAAGTGAACTGATTCCACTCCACAATTTCACTCTTACCTGATGTAGTGTAGAGCCCAAAGAGTTGCGGTCTTTCTGGCTGAGGCCGTCTCTTTGCAGTCTGCCGAGCAGCTCTAGTTTCTTGTAAGAGCGCAGGGCCAAAAGGTGAACGACGCGGTCCCGGTATGGCCGTTGCGATACGGGGTTGTTGGTAAGGCACTTGCGGATGGTGTTGGCTGGGTTGAGGGGGGTGGTCTGCTTCCTCTCTGGAACTGGGTCGGGGGCTGAGGGGGCCGGTTTTCGGTGCTGGACTTTTTTGTCTATGCCAAAACGACATTCACAGGGAGACAGAGCGGTTACAACAGTGAAAAATGTATCATTAAGATGTGCTTTAATTTGGTATATAATACGTGATGGACCATGTACTCAAGGGCTTAATTCACATTCTACCCCATTCTATACTGTATGCAAGATTAGGAATAATGCTAAACCAAGTATCCAGATGACAATTTCTATTGGTGTCTAATGCTGCCTACAAAACCTCATGCTTGCACCATTTCTCTACTGTAAACCTCGGAAGAGAATCAACGAATGAAAGACTGAAGTTGCAAATTTAATCTTGCCAAATTAAATTTAATAGCGTGCTGCTTTAGTATTTTTAGAGTATTCGAAAATAAGCATGCGAGCATTTGAAAGTAGCCACATCAGTCAGATGTTAAGTACATTGATACCATATGGAGTGATGTTTATTTTAGTATCAATGTACGTGCCAATACTTTTTCATCTCTACACCCTAAATATTCTCAAAACAATACTGAAGTACATACTTCAGAGTTTCACAGAAAAGTTTCCTCTATTATGAAATTCCTCAAAAGCCATTTAAAAGATTAAGGGTATCGACTCTTTAGCCATTCTACTTCCTACGTCTTTCTCTTACGAACTCTCCCTCGGTTTGCCCAAACATGTGCCGATGACTGGACGACATCCAGACGCAAACTTTTGCGGTCTCACCTCCTGCCAGTCAGGTGAAACTCTTACATCAGTGGATAATAAGCTTTGGCCAACACGCATGTATGGCAGACTGGGAGGAATCAAGGAAGGGAAGATCATTTAATCTCTGGGTTATATGGGAAATGTGCACCATTTCAAACTCTTGCTTGTGTCTCTCAGATTAAACACACAGGCAAAAGAGTGTACCGTGGTTTCCTGAGAACCAGCTGCTGCAAAGCCTTACGCCACAAACCCTCTTTCTTGCACTTCCTTTTGCTGTGTAAAATCCGATCACTCCTCCCCTGCAGCTTAGTGCCGAGGGATGGGGGTGAAACTGACTTTTCCAGTTTTGCGGTGGAAGCCAGCTGTGGTCCGGAGAATGGGGGCTCCCAGAGGGGAGTGACAGCTGAACAGGTGCTGAGAGAACGGTTTTGTCTGGCAGGGGTGAAATATAATGAGCTGTATTTGAGTGTTAGTTAAAGCCACTCTAAAACCCCTCAAGGGTTCTCCTTTTTTCCTAAATGGTGATACCATTTTTAAAACATGAGATAAAACAGGTCTCTTGAGTTGCAGCATTGTCTCCCCCCTGCAGTTTTTTAAAATGCAAAAAATGCTGATTTCATTAAACAACCTAAGCAGGTGACAATAGCCTGAAAGATTTAGTCTGTCACTTTCCATTTCCACACATCTCTATGTGGGGCACGTTGGTAATCTCGGAGACATGGTTTGCGCCACGACTTACCCACATCAGATAAATAGGATGAACTTTTATTTTGCTTTTTCTCTTGACCCTAATCCATACATCACTCTCCGTAAAGCTCCCAACTGGTTTAACGCACACGGTCATGTGACAGTTGCAACTGAACTGGCCGAGTGTTACAGGTCAACGTGAAAAATATGAGGAGATCTGCATGATGTGAGATCACAAATGACACCTTTATTAGTCTATTTCAATCTAGAAATGAGCAAATTCATGTAAAGTTGTACTACACGCAGGAAATGAAGTGAAATTCACGTAGGAAAATGAAAACAGAAACTGAAAAGAAAACCCCATCCTGTGAAGATAATAATCAGTTGCATAGAAAGATTCTTTGAAACAGAAACGTCTCGTTTGAAACACCAACCAGAAATGAAACGGAAATGCTGAAAATGCTCAATTAAACTGGATAGAGAGCTTTTCACACTTGAAACTGCTGACCTATAGTCATTTTTAACTTTGGATTAATGTAATACTGGGTACTCTCCTACTATCATTGACCAGAATGTGTTTGTGTGCATGTTATAAGAGATCAAATACAGTGCATTAATATCAAACCTCTGAACGGTCCTCCAGGTCTGATGAATTTGGTGCTGTTTTTGCTTTTATCGTCCTCTGATTTGGTCACACGCTCTTTGGTCACCTGGTAGGAGTCATTGGTGGCACATACTGTGATTTTGTCTTGAATCGTTCCCAGGGAGGACAGATGGGGGACCCCAGAGCTAACAGGCAGAAAAAGTAGTAAAAAATGAGAAACAACAACAAAACGAGCAGTAGTTTTGACGCACAAGAAACTTGCTCAGCCCTTACCTAGATATGTACTGGTGGATACACTCAAAGCTTCCTTGAGGATTGTCTTTGCCAAAGTTGGACAGATAAAAGTCGAAGTTATGAAAGCCATTGGAGGTGTCTGTCGTTGGGATTTTAATGCGCTGATAGGGCAGAGATAAAACAAAATGTAATTATTTTAAGTGCTAATAGAGGTAACCATGAAAAAAATTATATCAGCTACCTAGACAGTAAACAGGTGTCTTTTGTTGGTTTCACACTTCAAAATTTAAAGAAATATGCTTTGTTTGATCAATTTGAAATAAAAAGCTGAAATAAAACCTAAATATAAAATTTTTTAAAATTAAATGAAAAATAGAAATGTTGCGTTGGCAACTAACTGAGGTACTAATAAAGTTGAGAAACTAAAATTACTAAAACTTAAAAAAAAAAGCTAAATATATAATATTTAACAAAATAAAAACTAATAAAATGATAAAAGCACGTCACAAAAAAAAAAAACGCAATAGAAATTTACTGAAAAATATAAAAATAAAAACTATTACTATACTACTATAGAACATAAATAATACTAAAATAACTGCTAATCACCCAGTAATTTCATATATGCATTTTGTGAGTTTAGGGTTACTAGTTTAGCAAGATGTTAATGCAAAGCTCTACTGGAATCAACCGTTAGCATTGGTCAAGTCTTTTGTGCAGTTCTCATGAAGAGTAATATTTGTGATGCGCTTGACTGACATTTAAGGGAACTGCCGCCCATGTAGAGCATTTCAAATGATTCACCTATGATGATCCATCACTGTTGATGGATGAAGGAAGATGGCTGCCTAGGTTTTGAAACAGACTCATGGTGTCAGCTCAGTCAGAGCTTTGTAATAACATGTCGACTGCAGCATAGACAGTAGTTAAGCACACTATGTCTTTAGAGAGAGCATTCATGAGCATAAAACCAGAACCCTACTCGCCGACCCAGTATTTATAGTCACACAGCGTCTGAAGTAAACTACAGCATGGTGCACAGGGTCAGAGTTTAAACAGGCACTTTCACAGTGGAAAAGTCAGACGCCGCCCAATAAAACAACAGAGGGCTGAGGGCTCTATTAAGACACCAGGTTCACAATTATAGAGTGCTTTGATGAGTTACTCCCACCCCTCAGCCAGCGATGATACTCATTCAGATGCTGTAAAAATCATATTAAGGCAATCTGTAGTCAACTTACCCCTTGAAGACCCTGAAAACGTATCGTCGCCTGTGAGGACCGGGCATTCTGAAAAAGATGAGAATATTCAAATGTGAACAAACAACTAATTTATCCATCCAAACATCAAATATAAGCAACCAAATGGGCATCTGCTAATATAATTATGAAAAACAAGATTAGTGCAACTATAATACAAGAATAGCATACTATGAGTACTATATCTCCAGCATGTTGCATGAATACTGTGAAAAGTTACAGTATGTGGATTTTCTGCATGCATGGAATACAAGCAGGGCCTAAAATGTGCAGTTTACAACCAGACCACACTAAGAAATATCCCACAATGCAATACACTCAAACTTGACCTTCCATATCCACTGGAACAGAAAACATTGTCAGTCGTGATTTTATACAGTACATAAGAAGTAGAGGTGAATTCAGGAAAACTGTGACATTTTTTCCCAGTAATCTCAATGGCAAAATGTCCCAATTTACCTGAATTCATCCCACATAGTCCAAACCCTTCACATCCCTGCAACCATACACCTTCGGTTAAATTCAAATACTGCCCAAAGCCTCCTCCATCTGCAAAGGCTTGTTTAACCAGATAAGTTTCACAAGCCCCCACCCCCAAGCACACTTGCACACACACTAGATCAGATCACATTACACAGGAGTACGAAGAACTACGATTAAGCACTCTAATGATTTGGAAGCCTAAACCAGTGGTTCTCAACACTCAAAAACAGTTTGGACATCTGTGTTGACAGGGTCACGAACACAATGCTAAATGCAAATAATAAAATGCAACTTTACATATAATCATGCATAGTTAGGATAGTAACCAGGCATTACATAAGTTAATAAATCTGCATGTTGTTAGGCAATGCGATTCACTGTAATTTTACATTCCAACAACTTTGTCCAACAGAAAAAACAGCCTTAACCACAAATAATTACATGTGACAAACAGACAACTTAGTTAAACAGCTTCCTTAGTGAATCAAACATTTAAAAAATGAATCTACAGACACACTTTAGCAATTAAAGATCTATTATCAACATTTAGAACCATTCGAAAGATAAGGCACGGCTCCAGGATCATTGCTGAGGTTCACACATTCCCTGTCTTTGCCCCGACTGTCTTGTCCCATTGCCGAAAGATGAATAATGATTAACCACGAGCTCAGCTGGGAATGGTAGCTAGAAGACAAACAGATCTGGAACATGACAACATGTGCTAAGACACTGTAAATAATACCCAAATTTCGATCAGTCAATCAAGCTAGCTGGAGATACTTCAAGAACATTAAGCATTCTGTCTATTTTGCGGTATTATGCCAAAGGTAAGACAGGTATTACTATCCGAGTAATATAGGAGGACGCTAAGCCCTGCAGGATATGATCACTACATTCTTTACACCAACATGACACTTAATAAACAACACGATTGTAATGCAACCTTCTGCAGCCCTTTAATATTTTGTTGTAACAATTTTCGAATACTTCCATGCTAGATAACATCAACTGAACGGCATGTGCTTTGAATGAAAAACTAAAAGTACTAAAAATAGTTTTTTGAAATAAAGCTGCAATAAGAAATGTATATATTAGATTAAAAAAAAAGTTAAACAAATCATTTTAACTTGAGGTAGTAAAATGACTAAAAAATAGAAATATTTAACAAAAACAAACCAATAAAAATGTCAAAAGCACATAAAACTACTAATACTTAAACTAAAATTAAAAACAAAAACTGAACATATAAAAATTAAAAAATTTAAATGTAAAAAATAATAAATACTATAATCGTGCTAGATAATTTCAGTGGAACGGCATGTGATTTGTTCGTGAGCTCTCCCCGATGGTGTGTTGTAACATTTTGAGTGTCAACCAAACTGCAAACCCTAATCAGCAAAGACAAACAGTGCCAGTCTAAAGCAGCCAGGAACTTGATGGATTACTAAACTAATTTTAGTCTCAAACAGGCTTCAAGGTTCAACTTAACTCTTTTAAGAGAAATTCTAAACAAAATGGGTTGCCTTCATCTTTATAGGTGACCCGGATTAGATGAATGGGGTGAATGTCCAATCATCCACAACCCAAAGCAAATCTCGGGCCTAAATGTTTACCAGGATTTGGCCTTTCGGGACCGAATGAACCATCTCTATGAACCCAGTGCAATTTTTTTTCTCCTTTTTTTTTTTTACAACGAGCCAGCTGTAGCTTTAAGTCAAACACTGCCTTGTAAGCACTTTGTGAGCAGTGTAGAGCTTTAAAAAAAAAATCCAGACAATGCAGCTCTTCATTGAAGCTGCCTGATTTCTCCTAGTAAGCCAATGGAAACTCTTTCAGCCTTTCGAAATGTTAGAAATGCCCAGAAGTTTTTTTTTTCTTTATCAATTTCCATATCCATCATATATTCATTACACTTTTACAAATCTAACTCACACATTATGTTACTAACTTGAATGACCCAAATGGAAATAATCATATGCAAACCTTGTGGTCAGCCCTAGTTCAGAAATTTTATCAAAATTACATGGAAGGAAGATGAGTTGTGCACTATTAAAACTGTATAAGCAAAAGTAAAGGGTTTCCCCACTTAGGCTATTCACCATGCCACACATAAAAAAAATATTCCTTTCTGAACCGGAGTTAATTCATTTGTAATGACTTTTAAGATAGCGCATGATAAACGAAGATTATAACATAAAACGACACGATTTGTTTTAATAAAACACATTAAACTCCTCAGGTGTGTTTATGGGTCTTCATAGCTAACTAGCTAGCGAAGCAACCATATTTAGACGTTAGTTAGACAAACATATATGTGATTTGGTCTTATTGTGATTCTAATCCATGTTTATTTGAACTAAGAGTCATCAATGTAAAACAACTAACAAAAATGTCGCCACATTTATGAACTTAATCATTGTTGGAGGACTGCCAGCTAGTAACATTAGCCATGCTATCAGCTAGCTCACCAAACTTAAATTTTCGTCAATTCCAAAGGCTTTTCCGCATGTAACACTAAACATTTACTTTAAATAGACTGTAAACTAGCTAAAATGATCAAGACGTCGAAATGACAGACAATCTAATCGACGTTACTAGTTTGAAGAGAAAGTTTTCTCTAACTGTTAGCATTGTAACTTAGCTCATCTTTCGAGGATAAAACACAATAAAACATAGAGCTAACACGATTTCAACTTTACCCTGTTAATATAAGCTCTTACAATCGCTGAGACTTCATAAATGTATTAACATTTAAGAAATGTGTTTTTTAGAGTTGTAATTAAATGCAAAGAGTTTATAGCAGGTAACGGTGTGTTGGCATAATGTTCACTCCCTAGAAGTCTTTTTTTTCTTTAAAAACCATTTGCAATCAATCTACAAGGACAACAGCCAACTGAAAACGTTTATTAACTTTTATTTTTTTAAAGATGTTGCATTGCTTAGGAATAAAACATAATTTTTGATACATCTAATGCCTCTTTTTTTAGGGCGAGCAAGCTCTCGCTCTCCCTTTCTCTCCATGAAACTGTAAGTTTTCCAACACTCACCTTACAGTTTTGGTAGTTTTCTAGCGTTTTAAAGGCGGATTCTGTCAGTTTAACATGTAAAACTGATATTCTGTCGCTCTTGCGGCCACAGTTGAGTCCATATGTGCCATCCTCGCAGAGAGCTGCCATCGTCTTCACCAGCCCTCCACCATAGTCCCTCTGACATACGAGCAAACTCTCTCTCTAATGCGGACAGAGGGAGGGACCTTAGCAAACCTAAGGCCCTTTCTGCTCTATACTGTTAGAAAGTTAAGAGACTAGTTGAGTCTTTTTACTCTGTAACACTTTAAGCTAAAGGGGTTTCCTGATTATTTTTCCTAATTATTTTATGTAGGCCTATGCTTCTTCACCTGCTCCACAAGCATTGTGTTTGTATGATAATCAGCTTATGCTCGTTTATGCTTGTTATTTCCTATGCTTTTTATTTTAATTAAAAAATATTAAAATATATAAAATCTCTTGAAATGTTTAAGTTATGGATAGACCAATTAATCTGCTGATATTTGGCTATTTTGAGTTTAATTATGGGTCAATAACAGTTTAAAAATCAGCCTCGTCAGTTAGCCTATAATCAACTTAATAATCTGTTTATAAGTATTACAGTATTACATTTATTAAGTCTTATCTAAAATTCTGCATTTCTGCAAATGTCTTTGAAATTCAGCATTTAATTTACATTCTTTTGTATGATTAAGTTATGCACGCACACATATCAATGGCAAATCTTTTAAATATTTATTTTTGTTATTTTCTCTATGCCTGTTATTTTATAAATAAAATTATAACAAAAATTAAAATATATTTTAAAACATAATGAAATATATTTATATATATATTGATACAGACTGATATTTGGACATTTTGAGATTGATAACCATGCCGATTAATTATGGTTAACCATAACCATGCTGATTAACAGTAGTTAACCTTAAAAAAATTTGCCTTGCCAATTCAAAATTAACATTTTATGTTTTCAGAAATTTTTGTAGTGACTTTCTTAAATTACAGTAAATATTCTGTAGTAAGTGTTCAATTAACTTCTTTCTTTTTTTGTAGTTTATATTACGTAGTTTATATTGGCATTATATTGTTGGTATCATATACTTGTAGATATCAGAATAACATTAGTTATTAAACAAAAACAATTTGTTAATAAAATGAGTTTAGAGGCTGATTGGATTGCTTGCTTCTGCACCCTTCCTGTAATTTAAAGGATTATTAAACACAAAAGCAAATAAATTGCACTAGTAATTTAAATTTAATAATTTAAATCCAGTGGAGTGTTTTCTCCACCGTTGCTAAGATTGGAGTCAGATTCGGTTTGCCAGCCGTCATACTTACCACTCCCTGTCTTTACCACAGTATTTCTACAAAACACTGCAATAGGTGTCAAACAAGTGTTTGGCTGGTTGGGTCCAGCCTGCAAGTGTATTATTGTACATGTCTCACTGTTTGTAAGCAGTGACAGACTGCAGTCATCAGCCAATTGCATCAGGGTCACATTCTGAGTCACAGTCGGTCCGTGGTTACATCACTCATAAAGTAATCTGCAGGAACATGTTGAACAAGGAACAACAGTTTCTGGACATGATTGATAGACTGGGTATTTTTACATGTAGGTGTGACAAACCATTGCATTAATCGTAATCCAGCAAGCAAACCAAGCCTTATCGAAAACAGGCCTTTTAATGAGTTCAATCTGATCTGAATTTATTGATCATCTAGACTGGATTGGGCCAAAGTGTCATCTGAGAAGGTCAACCGTTTATTCGTAAGCCTGCCATATTGTAAAACTTGTTTGGCGGCTTCTGGCTATTTTCCCCCAGCATGCACACCTGCTGTGCCTTACAGAGTCACACTCTGGGCCAGAGTGATTGTGCAGAGTGTTTTGGTGTGGTGCTGTAGTTTTAGGCTGGGTGCAGGGAAGCCACTGAATCCTTGAGATTAGGCCTGCTTAAAAAGCCTGCCACACCCTTGATTAAAAACTGGTTTATTTGGTGTTTAAAATCGGCCCTGCAATGCATGCTGGTCCAGACATAGATAAAGTAACAGGATTATAAGATGTGTTTGTAGAGGAACACTCTTAAAGTGATTTTTAGCTGAACAGCATGAGTGTTAATTAAGTGGGTGTTAATTAGTTTCTCATCATGCTGATGCATCTGTCAGTGGCACAATGGCTGAGGAGTGGAAACATTCAGGCACATTAAAGTCACCGCATCTGATTACATTTCCTCTGATTTCCATGGCATTGTTGACAGGGTGTTATCATGGCTGAATCCTGCACAACATGGGCTGCTTTTTTTATAAAGCCTCATGCTGGTCTGGAACACAATAAAGAACAGATGGGATTAAAGCAATTATTATGGTCACCTCTGATTAATGAGAGAAACCATGACTTAGTAGAGCTTCTACTCTAACAAGTCAAACCTATGAACTTACACAGAAAAAAAATGAAATCTAATAATCTGAAAATAAAGTTTTAGAAGACATGTCAACAGTGTTACATTGCATATTGTATTATATATATTATATCAAAATTTTCACTGTAAAAAACTCTAAATTCTCTCTCTCTCTCTCTCTCTGTATATATATATATATATATATATATATATATATATGCACTGTAAATGTTAATTAAATTTACAATAAAAAACTATATTTCATTAACTGATATAATGCACTAAATCTGTGCTAAAGAAAAACACTTTAACTTTGGTTTAACTTTATTTTATTTTTTTTACTAATTTTGTTTAAGCATTTTCATACATGTACTAAAAGACCATTCAAAAAATCGATAAAACAGATTCAAATAAAATAAAACAAATGACTTTTCAGTTATTATCACATTCTTCTGAGACTATGGGAATTCTTCCCTATTTATATATTTAAATATACTTTAAGAGAAATTAAATGAAACGTAATGCTTTGCAAGTGCAAACTCTGAACAATACATCTTCCTCTTGGAGGTTTTTTTCTTTGCTTGTGTTTATCAACAGATATTTAACATTGTTCAAATGGGTGTGAGTGTGTGTGTGTGTGCAGTCACCTCAACAATTTCCGCTTACTTTAGCTTCTTGGCATTAGATTACAGAGCTAGATTGTGGATCTTTTGACCTTAGTACTCCATGTGGGACCAAGACACGTCTGTGTCCGCAAGCAGAGACCGAAAAATGTGAGACAAATGCTCCTGGAAAAAAATCAGTAAAGTAAATGAATGTTCCGGGGTAAATAGAAACAAACCAAAGCTCGATTTTTTTTTTCAAAAGCATAGATATAAAACATAAAATGTATGTGTTAACATGACACTATAGTTAAATAATTTCACGAGTTTAACTACAACAAGGGTAGTGCATAACTAAAGTAGGTTAGTGTTGGCTAGTTTTTAAATAGAGCAAACTCCACCCACTTGCTCACAAATGGATCCTCTGCAGTGAATGGGTGCCATCAAAATGAGAGTCCAAACAACTGATAAAAACATCACAAGAATCCACAAGTAATCCACACGACTCCAGTCCATCAATTAACACCTTCTGATGGGAAAAGCTGTGTGTTTGTAAGAAACAAATCCATCATTAAGGCAATTTGAACTTCAAACCATCGCTTCTGCCCAAAATACGAGTCCATAATCCATAATAACGCTTACTCCAGTGAAAAAGTGGACTTGTGTGGATTATTGTGATGTTTTTATCAGCTGTTTGGACTCTCATTCTGACGGCACCCATTCACTGCAGAGGATCCAGCAAGTGATGTAATGCTACATTTCTCCAAATCTGTTCTGATGAAGAAACAAACTCAACTATATCTTGGATGGTCTGAGGATGAGTGCTTTGATGGTTGAAAGCCTGTCAGTGATGCCTAAAACCAACATGCAACCATACAAATGCGCTCCATACACTAATTCACTGCTCTGTCAACACACTCAGAGTGCTGCAAGTGCCATGTGAGGACACACAGAGAACAGCCTGTCTCTCAGGAAGTACATGAGTTGTTTAAGTATACAGGTGACAATTTTGTCCCGCTGTCAGTTCCTCTCTGTCATTTCTGGAATATTAAAAGTCTTGAAACCGCAAAGGCCTGTTAATGTTTGACCATCATCTGGAAATACAAGTGGCACCAGCTGTATTGGTCCTTATCACATGGAAACACTGATGTATGAGCCATATCTCCCAACAGACACAGATGGTGTGGCCAGTCTTGTGTTTCAAAACACAGCTAGGCCTCTTTTTTTACACTAGTATGAATAGATGATATTTATGAATGACTTTTACTTCAGTTACTTCTAAATAACTCATTTTATCAAATTAAGTTTGCATTTAAGGAATTCTTTATGCAACAAAGAGCAAAAATTAGGAGAACATAATATCCCAAAATATATTTTTAATGTAACCAAAGCTATATACAAATAAAATAAAATAAAATAATTCCCAAATGGTGTTTGTATAATACTGTGGTCACTAATAAATAAATAAATAAATAAAAATACCGTCCCCAAAAGGCAGTCGTATAATATTATGGTCCCTCCTTCTATAAAAACTATACAAATAAAATAAAATAATAAAAAAAATTAAATAAAAAATTCAATTAAATTAAACTGGCCCAAAAGGCATCCATTTAATAATATGATCCCTCCTTCAATAAGTCTATACATATTTTTCACCCAATGAACTGTCCATCACCTTTCCACACGTATCATTCATGTCTGTAGCAAAAATAGTGATCCTGTTAGCAAGCAAATAAAAAGAGAGCTGCATCAAGCATTTTGCTAACAAAATTGTTCTTAAGTTTTTGCCAAACGTCCACAGGTTATTGAGATGTATGTTTGTCTGTATGAGAGAAACATTCATTTTAAGGCCATAAACTCCCTGGCATAGTGTTGTTGTGGAGCTGCATAATCTTGCAAATCCAGTCTCAGCACATTTTCATAACTTCCAAACACCTTTCGCTTCACCTCAGGCTGGACGGAATTACCAAATGGAATACCACAATATTCTGATGATTCCAGAGAAATGCAAAATGCTTCCTTTGAATGCAAAGCAGAAGATGAGATTTACAGTGAAAGAGAGAGAGAGCGAGAGAGAGAGAAATTTCTCTGACCTCCCTTGTTCATTTCAACCTTTTTATCTCTCATCCCTACCAAGTCTTTTCTATTTACACCTGTTCCATCAGTTTTAATATAATGCTTTCTTTTCATTTTCCCACTCTTAA